AGGTGGGAAACCTCCATAAAAGATAGGGCCTTGTGGTGTCATTTGCCAGAAACCCCCTTGAGGGAGCCCTTCTCTCATCTCTCTTCGTGAGCTAGAAGGTGAATGGGAGCAACACCTCACTTCTTTGTCAGTTTGTGTCCTGTTTCGTCTACTCCTTCCCCTTTGGCATCTCTTCTTTGCTCTGGGAGGGGAGGAGTCAGAGGAGGAACCTGAAGAGGTGCTGGAGGTACTCTTCGACGCCGAGCGTTCCCGGCGCCGATGTCCTCCTAACTTCTCTCCCCCGGCGTCGGTTGCGCGGCGTGAGGGGGCTTTCGCCCGGCTCCGCACAATGCGATCATCCTCCCTAGCCGAGGAGGGGCCGGGTGCATGGGAGGAGTCAGTGGGAGGAGCTTGGTACGGCTCCTCCCTTGAAGCCGCGACGTAGACCATGGAAGGAGCCGGCGCCGATAGCGTCGGCATCGGGGGAGTGGTTTGGCTCTCCCTCGCCTCTTGCGCATGCGCCGTTCGTTGTTTTGCCGATCCCGGCTCCGCCTCTCTCAGGGACGCATGCGAGGGAGTGGATCCTTCTCCCATGGACGTCTCCTTGGCGCTCGCTGGCTGTTTCGGCTCAGCATGAGCGATTATCTTCTTGGCCGGATTAAGCAGTAGGCTTGGGGCCTTTTCTTTAGTTTTTTTAGTTTTCTTTGGCCGCGCCATTGTTACAGCGGAAGACGATGACTCAGGTAAGTTCTTTTCGTTTGCTGTGCTCTCATCGCCATTTTGCCGCTTCGTAGGCAATGGCGGAAGAAGCGCCTGCTCATAAAGAGCTGCTTTAAGGCGAATCTCCCTCTTCTTCCTCGTTTGAGGCGTGAAGAGTTGGCAAATATTACATTGTTGATGCATGTGCTCTTCGCCAAGGCAAACAATGCAAAGAGAATGCGCGTCATTATCTGGGAAATTAGATTGGCAAGCCGTACAGCGTTTAAATCCTGTCGTATGAGACATCCTCAGTTGTTAATCTCACAAACACTTCTCTATTAATTGAAGCTTAGAGTCTCAATTTATCCGACTGCCTGAATGCGGCGGTTAAAGAGAACTGACCGTTAGCTCCACTTGGGGCTATTTATGTACTCGGAGGTGGGCGTGGCTTAGCTAACGGTTTATGAGAGTCTCGAGAATGTCCGATGCTGCCTGCGCATGCGCAGGAATTACCATAGGTGCAAATCACAGGTGGTCACGAGGGGAAAACTAGACTTGTGATTTTATCGTATATTTGTATACTTGAAAACTTAATAAAAATTATTCTTTAAAAAACTACGTAAAACAAACCTTTAGGTATGCACTTACATTATAAAAAAATAAAAAATTCTGATTCATACAATGGGTTTTATTAAGTTTTGAAAAAAGGAAGTTATGCTGCCTCACCCTGTAGCTCTCCCACAACCTTATGCATTTTGTACCATTAAAAATTGACTTTTTCAAAAAACCCAGGCAACACCAGGAAGCCACACTAGTTTTAAATATAATCTGTGAGTAATCAGAGTCACAAAAAAGTCAAAACAGGACAGCACACTCTCATTGACAGAGGGTTTATTCACAGCCTTAACATGTTATTGTATCTACATGACATACAAACGGTATAGAATTGGATCTTACAAAATAGGCTGCTGACAAATAAAATGGTAGAAATCGAATAGCAAGCCCCCCAGACACAGTTATGTACAGTTATGTACATTGCAATTTATCTTTTTTGGAGGGAGTGTGGCAACTTATCTCAAGCAACATTTTAAAGTAATATATATATATATATTTAAAAGGGGTGAATGCGCAGGCAACTAAAAAAAGGCACTCGGAAGTGTACGGGTTCCTGAATGGAATCAGGATGGAGATACGCCCAAAGGTAATTGATGCTTAAAGGCCCTCTCGTATTTGGCTCTGGGCAAAACTTGAAGGCAAAATGATATGCCAATGTTGTGTGCTTCTCATGCACACAAGACACATCATGGAGAGAGATATGAGTCTTTTATGAAGGCATTTCTCAAGGATCTTGGTCCCAATACAAGGTTTTCCTTCCAACATTCCTCTCCAGAGAAGGGAACAAAGAACCCAGACCTTGCGAAGCCTCCTGTGCCTTTCCAAAATAGGAATCCGGAACAGAACACCAATAGCTCTTTGCGCAATATGGCTGAGCCTTAGCAAACAGAATGCGATTGTTTCTAATACAGTTTTCAGGCTTTTTTAAGTGTCAGGACTTGGCAAACCTCGCTGCAGAGGAGGTAGATGCTTTTAATGGCATGCAAAAACTATAATCCCAAATGAAGAGCCTTCCCCCATATTGAGCGACCTCTGCTTTTACGTCCTGCTTCTGTGCATTCCAAACAACGAATTTTAAAAAAACCAACACATTCCAATGTATCCTCTGCTCACAAAATATACATCTCAAAACTAAAACAGAATATGTTACACCAGGGATTCAGTTCACCTACTGAATGAGTAACACAAAAAAGGGGGGAGGGAATGAAGGAGGAGGAATGATCATTTGACAATTAAGCTAACACATATCCTCGACTTTATAGATAGGCTTTCCACATTTCAAGCACAGGTCCAATTTAGCTTTGCTCAAGTTAAATTCTCTCTCTAAGAGGCAAGAAAGACAAACTGTTCTCTAATATAGTCTTCCCAACTTTTCAGAATTCCAGAGGCTCATCCCAATCCTTTTTGATATGCAAAGGAATGTTGAAATGGGGGAGACGTGGGAGTTTCATTTTTCTCTGCTACACTGAGTTAAATGGGCCTTTGGAGTCTCTTCCCCCCCTCCCCATCCTTTGGATTTAAAGCTGTCTGGAAAGGAAGACCCAAAGGAGACTGGCCTCAAGTTTCAGGGTTTTCCGGCAACTCCTCATTCTCCCTCCTCTTCTCTGGAGAAGTGTACAGAAAGTTGCAGCAAATATAGAGAGGGAAGGTCAGCAGCCGGCTGTCCAGGTTCATCACCACCTGCTCCTGAAAAGCCAACAGACAGGACTCTTTTATGGCTTGCCAAAGCCACTCTCTTAAGCCAGGATGGTGCAGCTTCAGAGAGGCTGCTTGGCCATAATGAGTTCACAGTTTAATCTCCAGCTCTGCTAAGGTTTGTGAGAGGAAACATTACATTAGCTTTTCCCCCTTTGAAGGCTGTCTACTAGGCTGGTGAAAAAGTTTGGATTAGTCTTAATTCGGATTAAGATTAGTAAAACCTGTACTTCCAAAGTGATTTCCAACATGTGGGCATGGTCTGGGCTAAAATCTTGTCTCCCGCATATGTCATCAGTTGGGGACCCCTCCCCTCAGCACCAACTGCCGCTCTGAGCCAGAGTGAAGAGAAAGGGGGACAGTTCCATCTTGTCTCCTGTGTTATGCTAATAATATAATATAATGCAATGTAATATATTGTATATACATATAC